AGCTTCGGGAGGTGATTTGTGACTTAGGAGTGCGATCGGAAGTGATTTTGGAGGTCCGGAGTAGAATTAGGCTTGAATTGGCAAAGTTGGCATTTTGGCGAATTCCGGTGGATAGGTGAGATTTTGATCCGAGGGTCGGAATGGAATTCCAAGAGTTGCAGCAGCTCCGTTAGGTGATTTTGGATATGTGTGCAAAATTTCAGGTCATTCGGAGGTGTTTTGGTCGGGTTTTTGATCGAATGCGTAATTCGGAAGTTTTTAAGAAACTTAGGCTTGAATTCGATGTGATTTGATGGCTTTAGCGTTGTTTGATGTGGTTTGATGATGGGAACAAGTTTGAATGAGGTTTTAGGATGTATTGGTATTTTTGGTTGAGGTCCCGGGGGCCTCGGGGTGAATTCGGGTGGTTAAACGGAGAATTCGGAGTTTGTTGCAGGTTTGAAGTTGTTGGTTCTGTCATTTCCGCATCTGCGGAAAAGGGACCGCATAAGCGGTTCCGCAGATGCGGCGTATTGGTCGCAGAAGCGGTCCTTGAGGGACCAGGGCTTTCCGCAGAAGCGGACGAAGTTCCGCAAAAGCGGTCACCGCAGAAGCGATTTTGGGACCGCAGAAGCGGTCCTGGGCGACTTGAAGGAAAACCGCAGATGCGGTGAGTAGGCCGCAGAAGCGGAAACCGCAGAAGCGGTGAAATTGTCGCAGAAGCGAAAACAACTGTTACAGAAGGGTTTTTATATTGTTTTCATCCGCGAACAAGAGTTGGTTTCCACCATTTTTAAGCGGTTTTGAGAGCTTTGAGCGAGAATTTTCGAGGGCGTTGACTGAGAATCAATTGGAGGTAAGTTCCTTGGTCTAAATATTCGAGTTTATGGTAGAAATTACATGTAAATTGTGGAAAATTCATAAAAAACGGGTCAAGCTAGGGCTTGAAAAGTTGTGATGTAAAAACGGATTTTGAAAGGGCATTTGAACTCCGATTCTGGTAAAATTGGTATGTGTAGACTCGTGGCGAGACGAGGAATCCAGTGATGTAAATTTCGTAATTTTTCGAGAAGTGGGCCGGGGCTCGGGTTTTGCCAACTTAGTGAATTTTGGTATTTTTCGAGTCTTTTCGATTGGGTTATGTTTCTTTAGCCTATTGTAATGTATTCGTTGTGGTTTTTAATCAGATTCGGCGTGCGAAGAGGTTGATTCGAAAGGCAAAGGCATAGCGAGCTAGACTTGTGGCCGGCTTGAGGTGAGTAATAGATGTAGATGATGACCTGAGGGTTTGAAACCCCGGTCATATCACATTGTGACGCTATAGTTGAGGCGATACACGTACTCTATGACGAGTGCGGGGTCGTNNGGCTTAGAAAGTTGTGATAGTAAAACGGATTTTAGAAGGCATTTGAACTCTGATTTTGGTAAAATTGGTATGTGTAGACTCGTGGCGAGACGAGGAATCCAGTGATGTAAATTTCGTAATTTTCGAGAAGTAGGCCCGGGGCTCGGGTTTTGCTAGTTTCGAGATTGTTGCTATTTTTCGACTGTTTTCGATTGGGTATTGTCTCATTGGCATATTGTGATGTATTCGCTCTGATTTTGGTTAGATTCGATGCGCGTGGAGGCCGATTTGAGGGGCAAAGGCGTCGCGGGCTAGAGATTTCGCCGGTTTGAGGTGAGTAATACTTGTAAATGATATCCTGAGGGTTTGAAACCCCGAATTTGCACATCATAGTGCTGTATTGTGGTGACTTGCACGCCAGGTATGAGCGTGGGGTAGAGCACCGTTGGGGATGGTGACTTGGTCCGTCCCGGTTGTTGATTTTACTGCGTAATTGACTAAAACCTGCTTGATGCTATCGTGATTTGGGCTGATTGCCATGTTTTGGGCTTCGTGCCGATTATTTGAATCCTTTAGGGATTATTATTGCTGTTTTCATGACACTTAGCATGTTAAATGACTTCAGTCCTGAGTTAAACACAGTTTTGAAATGTGCAGTCATATTGCTAAAGTTTAAAGACTTAAATTGCATTTTCTGATGTTTTGAGTTAAAAGCTATTACTTGACATTGCCCGAGTGGCTCATTTGCATTGATCTGGACTGAATATGGATCGGGCTGCACGCCGCAGTGATACTATGATGATATTGCGCTTGGGCTGTAGGAGCCCCTCCGGAGTCTGAACCCCCACAGTGAGCGCGGGTACCCAAATGGATCGGGCTGTACGCCGCAGCGGTCATGTGCATTGCATTGCATTCAAGCATTGGTTCCTGTTTGTACTACGTGTCATGACATTCAACACTCTCATATCATTGGCATCCATGCTACTTCTTGCACTGTTTACCAGATACCCTGGTGTTATTTGTTGATGGAGTGCTGTGCCCGAGGGGCTGACTTATGTGCGGACTTGCACTATCTGATTACGCATTCATTTGCTTGACTGTTGGAAAAGGATATTTTCAAAAGAGGTTTTTAAACTGAGCCAGATATTTTCTAAAGGATTTTTCACGGTTTTACTGTTTTCTCAAAGGGTTGTACTGTCCTATATAGCATGATGGAGTGCTCTTACGTGATTTCTTGCCTCTCAGTTATTATTTACCCTTATTACTCACTGAGTTGGAAGTACTCACTTTACTCCCTGCACCTCGCGTGCAGTTGCAGGTATCGTTCACCCGGTAGCGGGTTATTAGCGGATTGAAGGTATTGTTATTGTAGCTGAGCAAGGTGACCGCCAGCGTTCGCGGCACCGGATGTTGTCTTTTATTTTCCAGAAATTTTACTTGTATATATTTATTGGCCTGTAGTTGTGTTAAGGTTTCCTTAGATGCTCGTGACTTGTGACACCCCGGTCGGGTAGTAGTTAACAGTGTCTAATGCCATTAAGTTGTATCTTCTATTCATTTATGTCTAATAATTGTTAGTGAAAGGATTTGGGTTAGTTGGCTGGCCTTGTCTTCACGAGAGGCGCCATCACGACCGGGTATGGGAATTGGGTCGTGACAGTCACGCTCGGGAAGATTTGCGGTGGACTTAAAGTTGTATTTGGCTTAGCTTAAGTGTCATGACTAGGTAAGAAAGTCCTATTATTTTACAACAAATGATTTTACAGATTTATTCTTGACATTTAGGATTTAGTTTTACCATATAATTAATGCTTAAATGATTATATATTTGAAGATCTAATAAATTTTATTTTTAGGAATTCAAATGTTCCATCCAAGGAATGGATGGATTTACCAAGGTATAGCAAAGAGTATATCGAGGGTGTTCAATCTTTCTTAGATTTTGCTTACTCTTATAGAGATCCTCAAGGCGAAGAAATTCAATGCCCATGTGCAAAGTGTTGTAATATTTGTTGGACTCGAAGGAATGTAGTGTATGACCATCTAATATGTTATGGGTTTGTTCAAGGTTATACAAGATGGATTAATCATGGGGAATGGGAAATTTCGATGAATTCTAATTGTGACATGGATGATAATGTTTACTCGTACGATGATATTGATGGGTTGTTGAATGATAAATTTAGAAATATTGCACATGCTGGAGGAGTGTATGAAGGCACAAATGAAGATGCCAATAAATTCTATAACTTAGTTGACGAGGCAAGCCAAGAACTATATCCTGGTTGTAAAGGATTCTCTAGATTATCTTTTACAATCCGTCTGTATTTGTTGAAGTGTCTACATGGATGGAGCAATGCGTCTTTCACTTCTCTTTTAGAGCTATTAAAAGAGGCGATGCCTGACTTGAACATTCCTATATCCTACAATAAAGCCAGATCTATGGTAAAAGATCTCGGTCTTGATTATGAAAAAATTGATGCATATCCCAATGATTGCATGCTATTTAGGAATGACCATAAGGATGATGAATATTGTCATGTTTGTGGATCATCTCGATATATTAAATATCCTGAAGTAGATAGCGATGAAGTAGATAGAGATCTTGAGGCTTCCAAAAAAGGTTATCGTGTTCCAGCAAAAATTTTGAGACACTTTCCATTAATTCCTAGACTTAAAAGGCTATTTATGTGCTCAAAGACAGTAGATACATTAAGGTGGCATGACGATGAGCGTTCTAAAGATAGAAAGTTATGGCATCCTATTGATGGGCAAGCATGGAAAGACTTTGATAGCTTGCATTCAGAATTTGCAAGGGATTCTCGCAATTTGAGACTTGGCTTAGCAAGTGATGGGTTCAATCCATTTCGGACCATGAGCATATCTCATAGCACATGGCCAGTTATTTTAATGGTGTATAATTTACCTCCTTGGATGTGCATGAAGCCAGAGTACTGTATGCTTTCTTTGCTTATACCTGGGCCACGATCACCTGGAAATGACATTGACGTTTATTTACAACCATTAATAGAAGAGTTAAATGTTTTGTGGGAGTCCGGGGTAGAAACATATGATGCTTCAAGAGATCAAACCTTTCAAATGCGAGCAGCTCTTTTATGGACAATCAGTGACTTTCCTGCATATGCTATGTTATCCTGTTGGAGTACAAAGGGAAAGTTGGCTTGCCCTTGTTGTAATTATGGCACTAATTCTCGTTATCTTAAACATAGTCGAAAAATGTGTTATATGGATCATCGTGTTTTTCTGCCTATGGATCATCCTTGGAGATCTAATAAAAGGTCTTTCAATGGAAAAACAGAATTTAGGCCTCCTCCGCCTTTGTTAAAGGGAACTGATGTGCTTAATAGCTTGCAGAATTTTAACAATGTGTTTGGGAAGAAGCGAAAGAGAACAAATGATGGCCCTTGGAAAAAAAGGTAATTTTTTTTGAATTACCTTATTGGCAGCACAACTCGTTACGTCATAACCTTGACGTAATTCATATAGAGAAAAATATGCGGATAATGTAATTGGAACTCTTTTGGACATTTCTGGCAAGACAAAGAATCATGCAAATGCTCGTTATAATCTGAAAGAGATGGGCATTAGGAAGAACCTTCAACCAAAGGATACAAAGGATGGCAAGAGAACAAAGTTTGCAAAAGCATGCTTCTGAATGACCAATGGTGAGAAATCAGTTTTCTATGGTGTTTTAAAGACAGCAAAGCTACCTGATGGTAGTGCTTCCAACATATCCAGGTGTGTGCAGCTAGATGAAAGAAAATTATCCGGTTATAAAACCCATGATGCCCACATCATGTTACATTACTTGTTGCCAATACCAGTTAAAAGCATACTTCCTGATCATGTTGCTATCCCTTTGATTCGTCTAAGTTCTTTCTTTCACCGTTTATGTCAAAAAGTTATCACAATGGAAGAGCTAGATTGCTTGGAAGTAGAGATTAGAGAAACAACGAATCAATTGGAAAGAATTTTTCCTCCAACTTTTTTTGATATAATGATTCATTTGCCTATTCATTTGGCAAATGAGGTAAGGTTGGGAGGTCCAGTTCAAAATCGATGGATGTATCCTCCTGAAAGGTATATGTGTACATTAAAATCATATGTTCGCAACAGAAATTATCCAGAAGGATCTATTGCTGAGGCATATTTGGTTGAAGAGTGTTTGACTTTATGCTCTAGGTACTTACATGGAGGTGTAAAGACTCGATTTGATCGACGACCCCGAAACAATGAGGAATATGATTCAATTAATGCACAATCTTCTAGTTTGTTCCCTAATACAGGTTGTCCTTTAGGAGCGAAAAAGAGTGATCCAATTGTTTTAGATGACATGTCACTAAATCAGGAACATATATACTTATTGAAAAATTGTGATGAAGTTCAAGAATATATAAGGTAATTTAATCACTTATAGCATTTATTTATGTAGATTGTTATTAAATTACTTTATTTATCATTTTACTAACAAATAAAAATACTTGTTGTGTAGAGAATATGAGGTTGAGGTTAGTAATCAGAGACGAGGATCTAAATGGAGCAAGGCCAAGAAGCACAGTCAAAACTTCTCTCAATGGTTTGAAACTCGTTCTTTGAAAGAGGATGTGCCCGATCTTATAAAGCAATTATCCTTCGGACCAAATTCAATTGCTAAAAGATATTCTGGGTATCTCATTAATGGATATAGATTCCATGCGAGGCAGCGTGATGCAAGACGTAAAACACAAAATAGTGGCGTTACATTAGTCGCTCAAACTACAAGTTTTGCAAGCTCAAAAGATAAAAATCCTGTTGACGCAAATTTGACTTATTATGGTAGAATAGTTGATATAGTTGAGTTAGACTATTATGGCCATTTTAGGGTTGTCTTATTTAAGTGCGACTGGTATGAGGTTGAAGAAGATATTTATGGCCTTACTTATGTCTACTTCAACAAGAAATGTTATCAGAATGAGCCTTTTGTTCTAGCATCTCAAGTACACCAATGCTTCTATGTGCAAGATCCATTTGATCAAGATAGATATTATGTCATGAAGACTGTCCCGAGAGACTTGTTTAGCATAAGTGATGAACTTGAAGCTAATGCCCCACAATGTTATGAAAATGAGCCATCTGAATATTTGGCTGGCCCATCGATACTGGAGGATAATGGTGAAGTTGCCTTAGTAAGGAGTGATGTTCCAGCAACCATTCTTGATGTACCTCCAGAAGGATTTCTAGCACAACAACTTGAAATTGAATCGGATGAAGAGTTTGATTTTGAAGACACATCATGAATTTTTTTTCTAATTCAAATAGAAAATAGCTTAGCCATTTTTTATTAATAGCTAGATACACATTAAAGACTGTTGCTTTAGTTTTAAATTGATGTTGTCTATTTCTTTAAGTTCAATACTGAATATTTTCTTGCTTATCGATTTCTTTGATGTGCACATATATTTTATTGCTCATGTATTTTTAATGTGTCCCTTTTGGTATCACTAGAAATTACTTGATTGGTTATTCAATGTGTCCCTTCTAAGGAACCGTATTGTATTATATGTGGATCGAGAATTTGTCCTCTAGTATTGAACTAAATATCTAGAGAAGTGAACGTGCGTAAGTAGAAATTATGCTTCGGAATTTGTATTGTTCTATTACATGGAGTATTGGAGAAAGTTTTAAAGTGTATGCATATTTGTTTTTTGTTATTATCAGGTGGTGCACATGCAACTAAAGAAGATAGTGGACTAACAAATTTTGAAGAACGAATAGATATTGAACAGGTATCTTTGTAACTTTGTTTATTTATATATGCTCTAGAATCTTCTTTCTCTTTTATCTTTGCTTTCCGGTGGTCGGAGATGAAGTAATTCTTCAAAGTATGCTAGGAAGTCTTGATTGTAAAGCTTCTAAATCAAAACATCTGTAGAAAGTTCTATGAGAATCACTGTGGCATTTTGATTTTCTGAAAATGGTGTTCAGTGCATTGATATTGTTGATTTTCTGAGACATTTTGCTAACTTATTGATAGCCCTCAACTCTGCATTGACATTGTTGATTTTCTGAGACATTTTGCTCTTAAAAATTGTATGAGAAAAGAAGACACTGACCAACTTTCTCATTTGGTTGTTACGGATCTTCTTCACTTGTCTTCGACGAGATTCATATCTGAATTCGTCAAACACATATTCAGCATCTTCAGCTACTTTCTCACGACGCTTGAGCCATTCTTCCACAGTCTGATCCTCAAGTTGTCGTCTTTCAGCATCGTGAATGAAAGCTTGGATCATTGATATATTTTGTGTTAGCATTTTGAGATTTTTCTTGCAGTCCCTTGAGCTACTGACCTCTTCAATAGCTAGAGAAAGTAGCTTCTCAAGCAAAACTTGAACTGTAGCACCAATTACAGGGTCGGCCATTCTTGCAAAGGTTTTGCCAAGTCTTCTTTTGCTAGTTGTTTGTAAACTACAGAAAAGAAAAACAATAATTTAAACAATAAAGCAGTAGCTTTTGTGCAGTACAACTAATCATCGTTTAATAAATTATTTTTTTGGAGAAAAAGCTCAAAATTTATAGTACTTAATTTTATGAGATTGATCTTTTCTAGATCCTTTCAGGTTCAGCCTTAATGGTGGTCATTTGATTTATGTTATTGTTTGTCTGCCCTCTAAAACATAAATGTTTCTCTAGATCTATAGAGGTTCTTCTGTAGGCTAAGATGTAAACTTTATACAACAAATTTTATTGTTGTCGATGGTGGAAAACCAAAAAGATACTCATGCTACTTTGGTAGTTATGTATTTTTGCGTTCTATACTATTATTACTCACGCACTTCTAGAATTAAGTGTTATGAGCTTTTTACATTTGTTCCTTGCTGTCTAAAGTTATACACTAGTTGTTAGGCTAAAGTATTATAATTTTTTTTTGTATATAGGATGAATCAAGCGGCAGCTCTTAAGAAAAAAGTTCAGAATCCAAACAAAGCTCAAAGTTCAATGAAGAATATAGGTTTTGATTTCCAATACCGATCAAGTGCTGAACTAGCAAAAAAATTTTAGATTAAGAGAGAAAAGCTTGCAAGTGATCGCAACGATAAAGCTGCTAAAGAGCAGGCATTACTTGGAGTTAAAAGGAAGAATTATATGCGTGCAACATTAGAAGGACAAAGTGAACAGAGGTTAACTCAATCCGATGTGTTAGTTCAAAAGTTAGGAAGCAATAGATTACCGGTGTACAAATCAATCCAGTCGTCCTCAAGGGAAGATCTGAACACTTCACATAATATTGCAAGTAACGGATAAATTAAACAAAGGTTAATTCAATTGAAGGAGCCCATTCAAAAGCAAGCAATGAGTAAATTACCTGTACCCACATCCATGATCCAATCATCTACAAAGGTAGATCCTAACATTTCACATATGATTAGAAGAACACACGGTGAAGGAGAGAAACAACTTGATATTCAGGAGCTACAAAATTGCAAAAAGGTAAAGAAAAACTCAGTCCTACCGTCGACGAGTGTTAATCAATTTCTAAAAAAAAAATATGGGATACAAGTTGGTGGTGAAAAACATCCTGATAATCACCCAGAAAATGAAGTCAGATTTATGTCCTCTCCTATTATTAATGAGCGGGACATAGAATTGGATAATTTTGCTGCACAAGATGAAGTTGGTGACGATGAATTTATTGGAGATGAGGATATGAACATCGATTGTGCTGCAGCTGGTATGTCTTAAACCTTTTAATTATTTTATGAACATCGATTATGAAATCTGTTGCTTATATTACAGTCTATAGTGGATGTTCTTGCAAAAAAGAACAAGTTCAGTTACAGAGAAGCTAGAATTTTCAACTCTCTCTCTGTTAACTACTTTGCAAGATTGTTGTAAGTTTATTAAATTTGAAAAACTGCATACTCCCCACATCTTTCTAGCTAGGTAGTTGTGGTCTAAACCAGCCTTTTCTTCCTCAAAAATAGCTTTCAAGTTTCAAAACAGGTATGTTTTTATTTTCATTCTTCTTCTTCTTCTTCTTCTTCTTCTTCTTCTTCTTCTTCTTTCTCTTTCTAAACGTCCAAAAAGCGTCGAAATGCTGGCGAATTTTTTTCAGAAAAATTCTTCCCCGTTTCTGCCCAGATTCTGCGCAATTATATATTTTTTATTCTTAGTTCTTATTGCCTTTCTCATTTTGTGCTTTAATTGATGCTACTCTTTAATTTTTTTTAATTCAACTATTGAACATTTGCTTATGTGTTTCTTGTTATATCAATCTAGGGTCATCAGAGAAGAAAAGAGTTCGAGGGCAAACAACATGTAAGACTATTCATGCAAGAAGTTTTGAAGAAAGAGAGGAGGTGACATTTGATAAAGGACAAACAGTTGGACCAACTGACAAGAGAGTGTCTGATTTGACCAACTTTTTGGGAACAATTGCAAGGAATCCTAGATTTATCCCCTTGGTGCATACTAGTTGGCATGCTGTGTCAAAGGATATTAAGCAACGAATGTGGGAATATGTCAATGTAAGAATAATTAAATTTTCAATTATATATGTTTTGTATTTTCCCTACTAAGAAAAGATATATATATATATATATATATATATATATATGTTTTACAATTATATATGTTGTTTTGCACAGTCCAAGTTCTTAATTCCAGCTGAAGGAGAGAAGTGGGTAATGACTGATCTTCGTGATGCTTGGAAGCGACACAAGAGAAATATTAAGAAGAAATATTTTGATAAAAATGCTACTATTGACGAAATGCTACAAAATCGTCCCAATGAGATACCCGAAGTTCAATTCCGTCAATTGATTGAGTATTGGGATGACGAAGATGTCCAAGTAAGATTAACCCGTGCATTTCTATATTTTCTACCTATTGTTGCAATATATATTATTTCCTTTTTGATTTATTAATTAATATGCTTCTTTTGTTGTTAGGCTATGAGCCAATTAAATTCTGAAAATAGGAAAAAATAAAAGTGGAGGCATCAAATGGGACCTATTAATTTTGCAAGAGTGCGTGTGGCATTGGTAATATTTAGTCGACACTTTGTAATCTGACTTTCATTTCTTTTTGTACTTTGTCGGAACACAGTGATGTTTTCTATATCTTATTTGATGTAATTTGTAGCGCGCAACCAAAGAGAACAACGAGGAACTATCACAGTCTGAAATGTTTATTACAACTCGTACAAAGAAAGGGAAGGAAGTTCATACGGATACTCAAGTTGCAATAGTAAGTCATGCTGCAAGTTAAGTCTTGTTATTGTATTTTCTCTCTTTAACTGAATGTGTTTCTTTAATATGATTTTATTTGTACAAGATGTTAGATATTTGTCAACCCTTCTCAAATAATATGATTATACCTGCACAAGAATTTTAATATGATGTTGCCTGCACAGAATTCTCCATTCTGTATCTGTGAGTCATAAATGTGGAAAGAAAATAAATATTCAGAAGTAGATGATATTATTTGTTTCAGAAGTAGTCATTTGGAGCAGATACTTGTCCAGTCTAGTAGATGATATTATTTGTCCCCAGTTGATTTCCTTGATATTCCATTGTCCTTAGATTTAACATCCTTTGATCCAGTAGCTTATCCAGCAATTTCCCCGTTACTGCTGAAATTTTCAGCTTGCTAAGCAATCTCACGATCCTCCTTGTCACTTTTAGGTTCAACGGCTTCTTGTGAATCTTCCTTTTGCACAACCTGCTCGCTTCCATCCTTCAAAAGAGCTGTTTGTGCACCAGCAGTATATTGATTATCAATTGGATGAGTAGCATCTTTAGCTTCCACACTTGTTTATTTATCAGTTGTTTTACCCAATCTAACAGTAGGTCGATCACCATCTGTCGCACCAGCTTTTGCCTTCTCATGTGCAAACTGCTGTACATTAGTTTGCCCCTTTCCTTTTTTTCCAGCACCTGGACTTGTAGCAACACCAGCGTGCTTGTTAACCTCCACTTGTCGCTGCACCTCGACTTTAGATTTCTCAAGATTTTGCACAGCCTCCGACTTCTTCTGATTATTCCTCATATGCACAACATTGTCCATGGCGACTGGACATGAGTTACTCTCTCTCTCTACAAATAGGATTGTATAAGCACTGAGTAACTATTACTGTTCATTGCTAACTCTTATCCACAACATTCTAGGAACGAGTCCCTCAACAACAATGTTAGTTGAAAAGCTTGCAGCTATTTTGTCCACGTGACACGTTACGGTTGTTGTTGTTTTGTTGTTAACACGTTACGGTTGCAACACTTGCAAAAATTTCATGACCTAATCAAATTGCAGTAACAGATCACACCTTCAGATTTTAAGTTTGAACTTTGAACATTACCAGAGTATTGAAGTTCTTTAAAAGGTATCCTAATAACTTTCCACTAATTTCTGGTTGCTTGTTATTTCTAGTTTTTAAGCTTTCTGCCACAACATACTTGGTTTTATCTTGTCATACCAAGTTACATAGAGTGACTTCTTTGAGAGTTCACTAGTTTGATTTCTTAGTAGTTGTGCAAATTGGCTCCAGTATGAGCACAACAATCAAGAATTAACAGTCTTGAGGCAAGACATGTCACCAAGGTTCTATATCTAGCTCTTCAGCTTGCTTTCTAGATGCATACACACTAACAACAACAAGATACCCGGTGCATACTCACTAATAGATGTAATACAAAAGGTAACTGCAAAACATGTGAAAGAGGCTATCATATAAGTAAAATAAGGCCCATAAAGTGTGAAGAACTGAAAACAACATATTTTATCTAGCAAAAGCTGTTTCAACAGGAACTATAGCAGTACTAGCGACAGCTGCTACATGTGATGTCTTAAACGGATTTTCAGCATACTCATGATCCCCCTGATGTGATTTTGAAGCCTGTGTAGCAGCTGTAGGATTAAAGAACAAATTACAGCTGTAGCATACTCATAACCATTTTGAAGCCTGTGAGAAATTTCAGAGGTGCAAAAGCGCTTAGGTCTGCTCCTTTGAGCAATTCCTTCGTTCACTGAGAATGAATACGGTTAGATTGTGCTGGATCTTGCCAATGAATTCCAGCTAGGAAAAATTAAACTTCATATTAAAATGGTTATGATCATTGTCACTGAAAAATATATTGACATTCTTGGCTAAATTTTGAGGTATGTTAAACTTTTATTTAATCTGACTTGACTTGCTAAAACTTATTTTAGTGTTTGATCTATCTTGACTTGTAAGTGATGTGTAATAACATTTTTTTGACAGTCTGAACTTCTGAATCGCCAAAGTTCTGGAGAAACAGCAGATGATGCATTTACGGCTGTATTTGGAAAGGAGCAACCTGGTCGGGTTAGATGCTATGGTAGATCGGTGACGACAAGCTCTCTAAAAAAAAGATGAAGAAATTACCAAGCTTAAACAAAAGCATGCCAACGAAATAACTTCTCTGAAGGAAGAAATAAAGGAAATTATGAGGGAAGAAATGCGATGTTTTTTTAGTCAAATGGTGAAAAACAACCCTGGACTAGATTTTCATGATATACAAGGGCGTGTTGGATCTAATATTCCTTCACCGGTTGATGCAAGTAGTGCACGAGCTATGAGAGGCAAAAATCTACAACATTCTTCTGGCTCAACTCATGCCCCGAATATTGAAAAGGTATTTATATTTTACAATTCCAAAAACTACCTCAATCTTAAGTAACTTACAAAATCATGCTTTCTATAAGTGTGTAATAGGAAACTGAATCTATTGCCATGACCAAGATTCTAGGGGTCATAATGTTTGAAAGTAGACTATAGAAAAAATATTTTGCAAGTTGGTTATTGGTATCTCAATAGGTATTTTGTTTCTTTGAGGAGATCATTTTGGAACAGTATTATCTATAAATATTTTAAGTTCATGTATAATAATTTTCTGTAAATAAATAAGTATGACGCTTAACTGAGTTGTTGAATTCGGTATGAGTGTTGTTATTGGCATTTTTGTACTAAGTTTTAAAACTTATGCCCTGTTGGTGAGTGAACGGATGACTGTTTTTTGCTTTGCTGTATTTCATGTTAGCAAGTTAAGAGTATTTTTGCTTCATTGGTTTTCCCTGAAGTCTGAGATGTTGACCATGATACCCTGTAATCGGACCATGTCCTGAATGTTTCATGTGCCTAGCAAGTAGTGCTATGTTAGATGACTTGAAGCTCGAGAGGGTTCATGTGCCTAATTTTTTTCATTTTGAATGTGTAGGAAAATACAGGTGATGCAATTGGAAATGGTGGCCACAAATCAATTTGAATCATTAAAGTGAATGGTGAAGACCTTTTGAACAAGATGTTTATTTTTGTTGACACTAAATATGAGTACATTTGGTTTTGTAGAGGTCTTTGCTAGTGAACTTCTTGAACCAACATTGCTTTATTACTATAGTACACAAAGTGTGTTTCTTTTGTTGAAATTTATTTCAAGTATATGCATTTGAATTATTTTTATTCTATTACTTATCATTTAAATTAATGCTTCATATATATATATATATATATGTGTGTGTGTGTGTGTGTGTGTGTGTGTGTGTGTGTGAACTTGATGCAAACAAATATAATTTTTTAACCACAAAATTGTGGCTAATATAAGTATTTTGTAAAATAATTTTATAGTGTAGACAAAATCGCCACGCTTAGAAAGTGTGGCCATAGGGAATGTCAATCTAGTATTGTTAATGATAAATGTTGCTCTAGAAGCCACACTTTCTAAGCGTAGCCTATAACGTGACAATGATCACGCTTTATAAGCGTAGTCTTATGTCACAAAAGCGTGGCTATATCAGAAAATATAGGTGTGGCCTTTGTACCGTATCGGCCACGCTTTTAAAGCGTGGCTTCTAAGGCAACACCTACAAAGCGTGGCCAATAGTCAAAGGTTACGGTACTTTAGGCCACCCCCCAAAAAGCGTTGCCTAAAGCCGTAAAGTGTTGCCTTTGCCCAAATGCTACACTTCTTGGCATTTTAGGCCACACTTCTCAGGGGTAGTTGTAGGCCTAAAATGCTGTAGTACCACCACCAGAGTTTAGCATCACCCTGAAGATACATGGCAGCAGTTGCTACCTTCGTAGCTTCTTCTAGGCCCCCCACGGTATCGAAGTACTGTTCGGTGTCGAAGCTGAAGTTTTCCAATTCTTTGGCATTCCGAGCTCCACTGTATGGTTTTGGCTCAGGAATTTTTTGTTTTTGTGTCGCGGGGGCGAGGTTCACAGCACCCCCGATTTGGTTTCCGCCTCCTCAAAGCAGGCCTTGTAAATCAGCATTAACAATATTGAGCTGGCATGTCAAGTTGTCTATAGTTTGTTGCATGGAAGTCACCCCGTCTTCCTCTTGTGCCCTGTAGGCTAAATTTTTGGCACACTCCTATTGGAGGCCCTCGAATTTGACAAAAATTTCGGCTGCCTCTATGTCTGTCGTTTGCCGATCTCCTTCAGAGTTGCGACTGATGTTTTCTATGTCAACTTCGGCCTGGAGCATTCTGCGGTCCAGGTCGTCCAACCTTTGTACTGGGCTGGTTCTTAGCTCAGGCACCGTATCCACGATGGGCCGTAATATATCAACCGTCTCTTCCAGGGTCGCAATGCGGTCCCCATGATTCACCATGGTCAGAAATGGTGGTAATGGCAATGTGTTCCCTCGTCCGATGTCGAGCCTAGGCTCTGATACCAACGGTTACGCGGCGCCTTCCTGAGATTCCTTGGAAGGGTGACGTAAGGCTAAGCAACTGATGTTAGTGTAGTTACTATCTGCCAACTGAGGTCCCCTCCGTTCGCTAGACGAGATTGTCAGTGTCGTACGGGAAAAACAATGTCAAGAGCAATTGAGAGAACAGAAATGAAAATTGAGAATGTAACAAATCTTGATTGCTTAATAAAAGTTATTACAGAAAAGAAACACGGTGTCGAGGGGGAGAGACACCAGTACGGAGAATTATTTGCTTACTAGAAAGTTTGATTGCTTGATCCCCCCCTAGTAGTGCTTAAAATAAATAAACCAAAGTTACAAGACTAGACCTAACTAAGTTAGAGAAACATAATGGAAGTACATGAAATAAAACTACTCTATATTTACAATGAAAAGGACTTAGTTTTCTACAAGGTAGAAACAGGTCCGTTGTCAGCAACATTGTCTTTGGCATCACGACCTGTGCGCGCCGGCGCTATTGTTATCTTCCTGCGGATGGGTACTAGCGAGGGATATCGGTGGGGCGACAAAGGTACATGCGCGGTTGTCACTTGGCGCAGCCAAGACCACGGGGCCGTCCGTGGCGCTAGGCGTTGGAAGCTTGCTAGGATGCCATACGGCACGTCCAAGGAGTCATGGGGCATGGCTGGAAAGCTGCCCATGACAGATTTCATGAGTCATGCATGTGAATGATTGATAGGGGGCAATTAAGAGATCAATGTTTATCTAATTTTGTAAATACATCTTTCTTTATTCTGTATAGGGGTGTCAATGGTTCGGTTCGGCCGGTTATTTTAAAAAATTTGTACCATACCAATTTTTCGGTTATTCTATTATGTATAACCAAAATTAGACTTTTCGAAACCGTCTCAATCATGTCGGTTTCACTTCGGTATCGGTACGGTTCGGTTAATTTTCGGTATTTTTTAAATGTTATGTAAAATTCACTAGTAAAAGTATAATGCAATAGCATACATTTTTTTATAGGACTTAACAAACTCTCTAGTCATTTTTACTGTTTAAAGAGTGATGAATTAAAAAACATGAAAGATGGCTAGAGTATAGATGCACAACTATTCGATAGCACGTAAAAGAAACCAAGTAAAAGCAAAGAACATATAAATCATACGAGTGGAAAGATATTAACCAAGATGGGACTCAAAAATAAAGTCTATATTAAATATTGAAAAAGATAAATCTAAATTATATGAAAGGAAACATATTCAATATATTGTAGTTTGCTACTCATAATCGCTAGAATACTTTGTGTCTTGCTAATAAAGATACTTGAAATAACTTAGTTTAAGTATAAGTAGCATAATAGGTTTTATGAATTAGTATTATGAGTTTAATTACTTATTGGCTTGTAACAATTTTCATAATTCCGAGGCCCAATGAAAAATTTAATGCTTTATTAGTTTTAAACTTACTATATAAAATATATTTTCCACATGTAAAATTTACTCGGTACAGTTCGGTATTTTTTCGGTTTATTTTTATAAAATAAAAAACATATCCTAATTATCGATATGGTTATAGATTTATATAAAAACCTACGGTTTCTTTAAAGAAACCTAAAAATCGGTTCGGTGCGATACTGTTCGATCGGTTTAATCGATTTTCAAATATCCATTGACACCCCTAATTCTGTAACAAGAGTTGTATGAACTTACTCGTTAACTGCTGAACCTTTTAAATTTCATATTGATCACTATTTTCAATCAATATTGTAACAACATTCAGCTCGTGACATAAATTGAAAGGAACTTTATCACTTCTCCCTTGGTTTTAACTAAATTATATCTACCGTTTCCCTTCCCTGGGAAGCTTGTGGCAAAAAGTAATATAATAAGTTATGCGATTTATTATTATGTTATGCGAGCTAAAATGTGAAATAAGAATACCAAGTGTTGGTAGTATATGGATTAACATAAACAACAATAAAATGCCGTCACACTCTTCATATTTGTTTTCTTATTTGCCTTTTAAAATAATAAACAAGAGATATTTTTAGCTTATAATCCTTACATTACTAATTCATACATTACAGTTCATAATTGAACCGATCGACAATACAACTTCGAAAAAAAATGACACCACATAGCCCTCTTTATCATCCTAATAGAAAACATATTCAGTTTTTAAACTATTTAAAGTTCAATTTTTATAATTTTTCAAAATTTAGCTAAGCAAGATTTAAACTGAGCTTGTTGTTGTTGCTTAAGTTCATACCCGAAGTCCTGAAGTTTGAAAAGCTTAAGTTCAAATCCAAACCCTCGGGTACGAAGTTGGGCTTTACCAAAGCCTAACTTTAGACTTTCAGCAGAATTCGAACTTTTCAAATTTAGACTTGAGGTTTGACGTTAAGCTTTGGAAGAACTAACTTCATACCCAAAAATTTTAATCTGGATTTTTAGACTTGTGATTGCAACTTCAAACCCCCATATGTCTGAAGTAAATCTTGAAGCGAATAGACTTCAAAAACTTTATAAATTTCGCATTATCTTTTAAAAGGGTCCTAAAAATGGCTATTTGTGGAGCAAAAAACATGAACACGCAAAATTTAAGAGAAAATCTCACTTTATACCTATTAATTCCAAACTATTTACCCTTTAATGCCCAGACCCAAACTATTTAATACTCCTACCAATACTCCCCAAACTATTTACCCGCTAGTTTCACTTCCTATATATCTGCCCGAACATTCCCTTCGTGTTCATCGCACATTAATCATCAGAATTTATTTATTCTCTTCCTTCTAATTTTCCGGCCATTATTCAGTTCTTTCTCATTTTATTGCACTACAAAATGTCTAAATTATTTGCTATTGCAGTTCTTCTATTTTTTGTGTTAAATTCCGGTGGGGCTCAAATCACAAAAGCACCTTCTCAAGCCCCAATATCTTCTCCTTCTAAATCGCCCCAATAATCTGGTAACAAGTTTATATGTTATAGTAAAGTTTTAAGGAAGAATATAGTTCTTTTGAAGATTTATTGTTTGATTCGATGTGGTGCTATAAAATATTGCTTATAGTATCTTCGAGTAAGCTTCCCAAATCTAAATTTTTTTTGTGTATTTGAATATCCACCATTGTTGGGCTTGAAGCTCAATTTTATTTTTGAAGATTTTTTGTTTGATTCAAAGTGGGTGCTGTTAAATATTGCTTATAGTACCTTCTAGAAGTTCATACTAAAATTTGATAGCATTTGGACCTGATTTGAGGTGATTGAGATCGAAATTTTCAGTTGAAAATCGAAGAAGAACACAGCTACAGTATACCGCTACGGTATACAATATGCTGTAGGAGTATATAGCTATACTGCAACAGTACACTATTATAGTTTACAAAACAGTATACCGCTACAGTATACTAATATACTATAGGAGTATATAGTTATACTGCAACAGTATAGTATTATAGTATACAATATATTATTATGGTATACTGTAATAATATGCAAGATAATGTAACAATATGTTGTAATAGTATACAATATATTATAATAGTATACTTATTACCCATAAATTCACTTGCCTTTTCCCTTTTAATTTGTTTTAAGCTTTTACCCAGCGTGAGGGGCAAATTGAAAATGCAAAAAAATAAAATAAAAATTATAGTATGCTATATGGTGTAACGGTATACTCTTACAATTAGATCCTTTTAGAATTTTTAAATTTTTTTATTGACAACTGATATTATTTTAGTTTAATAATTAAATTAATTTTTTTAACTCATTGCGTACAATTGGATACCCTGTTGGTATAGCTATATACTATACTAATATCATATGTTAGTTAATATTTTTTTGATTGTATTAGCTACATTTAATTGGTACACAATTTGATTTTTCTTTAGTAATAATATAAAAAAAAAAAGAATAATAAAAAAATAGTGAAAACAGTAAATGAAATTAGATTATGAAGAGAAAAAGAATATAAAAAAAGAAGTTAAATGAAATTAGAAAAGGAAAAAAGAAAAAAATAAGAAGAAAATGAGAAAAAGGAAAAGGAGAAAAGAAAAAAAGAAAAGAAAAAATAAAAGAAAATAAGCATAAAAATAAAAAAGAATTGGAGAATAAAGAAAAAATTCCCCACAGTAGGAAATATAATTAGTTTATGGGTAGGAAAATAAATGGGTAGACAAGGGGAAATAGTTTTGTTTTTGTGGGTAACTGTGTCAAAACCCCAAAATTTAAGGAAAAATTTTCTGAAACGTAGCAACAATAGCTATTTTACATACATGGCAACTAAATAATTATATTCCTAGCAGATACCTCTTACTGAAAACGTTCTTAGAGTTTTTAAATATTTTTTCCCCTATATTTTCTCTTGAAACCAATCCCTAACATATTTAAATGGTAATATCTTTTTCTATACAACATAAACTCTAACGAAAGTATACTTCTTTATATTTTGAAAAAATAAAATGCATATATTTTATGAAAGATGCATTGTATATTTGAGGTATATATACATTATAAATCATGTAACTTTATATCATTATTATACGAGGGAGTGCTTTCTTACTAAAAAGAGCAAAGGCGTATTATTACATTAGTATACAAAGTATTTTTTGAAAATATCATTATATTAGTTATATAATGTTATACCTTAATACCATTATATTACATAGTATTTCTCTAAAGAAATATAATATCATACATACATCTATATATATATATATATATATATATATTATTTGTTTTTTTATCTTTAAAAATACCGAAAATACACGCCTTTTTTTTCGGTGCTCCTTTCTCTCTCTTGACGGGCTATTTCTTCTAAACCCAAAACTAATTTCATCCTTCACACGTCTCTCTCTTCAAAGATCAAGCAGCCGCCGAATCTTTTTCTGGGTAAGATTTTGAAAATTATACTTGGAATTCTCCATCTTGTTTCCACTTTTCTAATGGTAAATTTCAGTTTCGAGTTTAGGGTTTAAAAAAACCCTACGATTGAGAAGGGGCTAAACTAGAAGGTTTTGCCTGCCTCTTATTTGTGTCTTGTTCTCACTTTTGGATATTCTATTTTGATTGAATCTCTGAATTTATGTAATTTTTCTTGATTTTGTTGACACCCCAATTCTCTAAATCGTAAATCTTAATTGGGACGTTCTAAATTGTTAGCAATGTTTTTTTCTCGTTTGCAGATTCACATTGTCCCTTTTGAACGTTCTTTTGTTTTCTTCAAGAATTGCATATTAGTGACTGAAATTCAATTTCTCTAGTTGAAATATAAACCGTAATTGGTGTTTACGAAGCTCGTCCAAAATTAAGAAACTTTGCTATGGCTAGAATTCGGTAATGAATTTCTGTGTTGTTGAAATTAGAGCGGCTATAGTTTCATATTTGGTTAGAATTCGGATAATGTATACATAAGTAAGATTTATATTTCAGTGCGTTCTGAATATTTAAGCGCTATTGCTCTTGAATTATTCGTCATATGTTACATGTTCTATAATTGAACCATGCTTTCTTTTGTTTATTCAAGAATAGCTTCTTTACTTCCTCAATTTTTTCCTATTTTGTGTTTAAGATCCTACCATTTACTACATTTTTGCAATCTTCAAACAGATTATTTGCTTAGAAATATACAACTTATCTTCGTGGGTGGCTCAAGGGTGAGGCTAGTAAAGTCTTCGCTTTAGGCCCCAAAAATTTTGAGGCCCCAAAAAGTGTCGTAAAATACGTAATAATATTTTGACTTAGACAATTTTGAACTTTGTAGAAAAAAAGTATAAAATCCATGTAAAAAAGGTTTTAAAAAAACAAAGAATATTTACTTTTTAACATAAGAAATATTCTAGAATTTTCTTATCAAAAAAAAAAAGAAATATTCTAGAACTTCGAATTAAACTACTCAAATCTTTGTATTAGCAAATAAAGTTTTTTACATCAAGATCCAAGGCAATGCATTGCAAATATATGGCTAACATCTTACTAATTTGAATTAACACTTGATAATATAAGTAATAATAGTATTACTAAATGAAGCTAAAAGTAATATTATTCAGTGTTCAGACCTGCATACCACATCTTAATATTCAGACGTGCATTCAGAATTATGACTTTTAGCTTCATTTAGTAATATTATTTATACAAAGAAAACACGCGGAAGTTGACAAAAAAGAAAAAAAAGAAAAGAAAATAAAAGAAAGGTAAACATGGAGCAGAGCTGCCCCGGACCCGACCATGTTGCTAAAACATTTTTTCAGTGATGTTTCTGATCTAACGATATCTTTGATACGAGTTAAACCTTACCTTCCAATCTTCCAATGGCGGCAGTCACAGTGGCCGCAGAATGGCAGCTCCTCCACAATCGCTACTACCGGAAACCAGAACTTTACCAGATGCAATGGAAGAACGTGGACCTCACGCGCAACAAAGTTGCTTGCGCTCCTTTCGGCGGTCCAATCGCTGTCATCCGTGACGACGCTAAGATCGTCCAACTCTACGCCGATCCGCCCTTCGGAAGCTCCGTATCTTCAATTCTGCCGGCGTTCAGATCTCCGAAACTATCTGGAAGAATCCCGGCGGCCGACTCATCGGCATGTCATGGACCGAAGATCAAACCCTAGTTTGCATCACTCAGGATGGCACCGTTTACCGTTACAACATCCACGCCGAGCCTATTGAACCGAATTCTCAGCTCTCACTAGGCGCTGACTGTCTTACTCATAGCGTAGTTGAATGCATCTTCTGGGTAAACGGTGTCGCCTGTATCAATGAGGCGTTTCAGGTTTACTGCATACCCGATTTCAACAACCCGAAACCAATCAAATTGGCGGATACTGGTTTGGAGGATTTTCCGTTATGTACGGCTGTGATCGAGCCGCAGTATACTATGTCTTGGAATGTGGAGGTACTGATGAGTGTGGCTGATCACGTGTTGCTGGTGGAAGAGGATGGCGTTCAACAAGTTGGGCTTGGAATTGGGCCTCTACAGAAAATGGTGGTTTCTCAGAATGGGAAGCTTTTGGCAGCTTTTACACATGATGACAGGCTTCTTGTTGTGTCTACGGACTTCTCCAGCATTATTTTCGACTATACTTTTGAGAAGGTTATTTTATTCCCAATGCTTTAACTTGCCGTTTCTGCATTCTTTTAAGTAAATTCTACTTGCTCAGTGTTATGTTAAGTGGCTAACTAGAATGATTTTTCTTGATGTCTTACCACATTATTATTTATACAGTTTTTCAGATAGAATAATTCAAGCACGTTACCATGACATATAACTTGTTTGAGCATCAATTGGATCTGAGTTGTTGCTTTTCACATGTAAAAAATGATTTCTGGCTATTTTAGTTGGATTTTATATCACATGTGTGTGCCACCCTTTATTTTCATCTTTTGGAATTTTTAGTTCATCTGGATCGCTGAACATTTCTTTACCAACTTATCCAGAAGAAAAAAAAAGTGAATCTTCGCTTACCATGCTACTGCTTTTGTATTTATAGTCAGCCCTACCCCCCGAGCAGCTAGCATGGTGTGGATTGGACAGTGTACTACTCTACTGGGATGATAAGCTTCTAATGGTGGGTCCTGGAGATCCTGTCAGCTATTTCTATGATGAACCAGTTCTCCTTATCCCTGAATGTGACGGGGTTAGAATACTCTCCAACATGAGCATGGAATTTCTTCATCGTGTTCCAGATTCAACTGTCTCCATATTTCAGATTGGTAGCACACTACCAGCTGCTTTGCTTTATGATGCCTTAGATCATTTTGACAGGCGGAGTGCCAAGGTAGGCTATATCTTTTGGTATTTACTCTATGAAATGACGAAGACCCAACTGCCTATTTCAATCTCGAAATATTTCCATAAAATGAGCATCATTAGACTTGTCCATTTGTGCACATATTTACCTCTTCTAACAAATATGTATCTACTTCTGCATCCAGACTTGTTTCCGTACCTGCATATGTACCCTGGGATGCATACCCTTAGGACATTGTAATTGATAACCCTATTTGATGAGGATAGCAGAAACAATGAAAAATCCTTAACTGTTGTCTTTTGGATAAAGTCAATTCTCTCTACAAGCATATCAATTCCTACTATAAATACTCTGCCATGCTTCATCATTTCCCACATTCTTTACTACAATTACCTCCTTCTATATTCCTAACCCAATATCATACAATGACATAAAGCAGTGTTTTATGTAACATTTTCAGTTAACATATTTTTCATAGAAAACATTAACCTAATACCAAACACATTCTAGGTTCCTATGACATGAATCTAAAATATTCAAAACTCAGGTTACATGTCAGCTAACTTTTGATACAAATGTTGAAGTAGATAATCTATAATGAGGAAAAATAAGTTTGGCATTGCACTTAAATAAGCTCACATTTAGATTTCTTGAGTAATTGCAACAACTGTGATGCTAAAGTCTTTTCTTTATCTTTGCTGAAATCCAATAATAAAGGACTGTCATTTCTTCTAAGACCTGCTATTCACTAGTATTGAGAATTGATGGGATCTTGCTTCTCCATATCTGCTCTTTATTAAAGTGCAAGGATGTTGCATGAATGCTATTTTTTCTGTTAATTGAGTTTTGTTGCCTCCACTCTGGACTAAAACCTTGTAAATTCAACCAACAGTGTTTGCAGCCATCTTAAGGCAGTGGGTATGTAATGATCGTTCAGATATGTGAATTATTAAAGACAACATATCTGTTTTCTTTTAAATTTTTTGGTAAGTGACTAGATGTCAAATGACTCAAATTCTTTAGTTTACATGCTAGAGAAGATTTTTTTTTTCTTTGTGAAGGTAATATATTAATGACGTAGTCTTTAGTTGTGCCGAGGATCAGAAATAACTCTACCTTCACAAAGGTAGGGGTAAGGTCTGCGTACATCCTACCCTCCCATTATTGTTCTTGTAATGAAGTAGTCTTTATAACAAAGATTGTGCTGAGTAAAATAGTTACAAGACACAATAAATTTAAAAAAAAACTAGTCTTGTGACAGCTAATAGTAGAGAAAAATTGTTTTGAAGTTCAGCTTCTGGGAAAATTTTAATCACCTAATCATTCACCAGGCTGATGAGAATCTGAGGTTGATACGGTCTTCGTTGCCTGAGGCTGTTGAAGCATGTATTGATGCAGCACGTCATGAATTTGATGTTTCACTGCAATGGACGCTTTTAAGAGCAGCAAACTTCGGACAAGCCTTTTGCAGGTTGGTCTGTTGGCTTAATTGTAGAGATGATATATTTGATAATATAATTTCTATTTTACTACTTCCTCAGAACAAGAGAAGTTCCATTTTACTTTTTGCCTCTGGTGTGGGTACATATGCAAATTCTAATGCTGTATATATGTAATGCTGGTTTCATATGATGAGGGGAGTGGCAAAATGAACTGCTTCTTTGTTTGTTTAGAAATATAGGCTCTTTCCTTGTCTAAATTCCTTTAGAGGACGCAGTACTTGCTGTGCCTGCTTTGCCACAATTGCAACTGTGGTATTCAGCTGGTATTAATGTATAGTTCCTTGACTATGAGAAGAATCAAAGGATAAGGCATTTCTTCGCTCTGACAATTTACTTTCTTGCTATTATTCATGAAACAAGTTAAGCGGTGATGGGAACTTTTTTGATAAACAAGCTATGGTGGAAACTATACCTGTTAATCGGGCCGGGCTGACCCGTTTTCAGCCTGGTTCGTCCCGGGCCAGCCCGGTTCAGCCCGGCACTGTAGCATATAGGGCGGGTTGGACGGGGAGCGGGTTTTAGATGAACACATTTTGGATACCGGTGCACCGGAACCCGCTAAGACCGCTAACCCGTTAATGGGTTAAATTTTTTTTTAATTTGTGTACCGTTGCTAACAAAATTTAATTTTAAAAAAAAATTTAGCACAGCCCGCCCGAGCCCGTTAAGCCCGAACCCGGACGGGCCCACAAAAACCCGCAAATTCCCAACCTGCTATCCCCAGCCCGCTAACCAACCCGGTCCGTTAACGAACGGGCTGGTTTTTTTTTGTTCAGCCCGTCCCAGCCCGCCCGTTAAACACCTCTAGTGGAAACTTCCAAGTTATATTAACCTGGTAATACTGTTTTCCTGTAACCTATACCCAGAGAGACACTAGTAAAAGGAAAAAATGTCTACACAAACTATTGATTGTTCCTTCTGAGAAAATATATGCATCTGGTCTAGAGGTTGGTGGTCTCTTGAAGATTGATGATATTTTTGGCAGTTATAAACTGGGTTTGTGTTATATCATAAACAACATTTCATGAATACGTGCTGCTTGATACCTTTTTTCTTCCTTGCTCATGAATGTTCGTCGAACCATCTCACTTATTACTTCGGGTTTTTGTATCATGGGCTAGATAAGGGGGAAATGTAAATAACAGCGATCTGTATTGCGTTTGTTAATGCGATGACGTGGGGATTGCGCTCCATCAGTCATGGGATTGTTGAAAAAGCAACAATATGTTTCTGTTTGGGTGCTTGCCAGAACAAGGATGCCACGGTTGGGTCCATGTTTGATACTTTATCAGTACAAAGTACTCAATGATGCTTAAGGACTAAAATGTGATCCCAAGTGTGGAGAGGACGTAAGTAAGAAAAGGGATTTGTTTGTTTGTGTTTTTTCTTTTCCTTTTTGGGGATTTTCCATCTTTTTCTTCCTTTGAGTACAAGAGATGAAGGGTCAAGGGTCTGGAGGGGTAGGGGGAGGAGAATTGGGTCTTTAGTTATGCGCTTGCCTACTTTAAGACCAATCTCTAAACCAGAGTTAACTTCTCAAGTAACTTGTTATTACGAGGTTAGTGCCAGAACTTTGCTTTGTCTGCAACTTGAATGCTGAATAAGCACTATGTCAAAATGGATCAAACTGTTTAAGTGTGACACCATCTCATCTAAAAGCTTAAGCTGTTAGATAGAACACACCTTTACATATAATATACTTAATCATGGGCCTTGATTATTTGTTTATATATAGACATTCGCCTATCATTTGTGTAGCTGCTACTGCTAGAAAGTCGATTTTATGAAGAGATCATTTCTATTCTGATTTCTTCTCTAGTTAATGATATCCAGTTGGCTTTGGCAGCCATTTTCAACGGGACCGCATTCAAGAGATGTGTAAAACCTTACGAGTCCTAAATGCTGTACGTCACCCAGATATTGGAATCCCTCTCAGTATTCAGCAGTATAAGGTACTCCATACTCGCTGGTTTTTAAGTGGAGTTGTGCTTAAGTCACTCTAGACTCTCTATCTGAATCAATTTCTGACATTTTTCCTGGCAGTTGCTTACGCCTGCTGTTCTGATTGCTCGTCTTATTAATGCTCATCGCCACCTTCTTGCGCTACAAATATCAGAATATCTTGGCATGAATCAGGTATGCTGTTTGTATCTCTAGCAAACTTCCTTCTTTTAGATGTGGTCCAATTAAGAATATACGTCGGCACGTCATTACTACTTCTATAATGGAGTTCAGATACGAGTTGCTCATGAAATGTTATGCGCTTATCGGGAAAAAACATATCAGTTTATGTGACGTGTTACTTGTTCTTGGGATACCATATAAGAGGTCAATCTGTCATTAAAATGTTCAATGTGTCTAATGTACTGTCTTCCTTCAATTTTATTGAATTTTAAGAGGCATTTTCCCAAAACTTGGTAGCTTTGAGAAAAGACTGACTCAAAGTGAACTTCCAAAAGTCCCGGGGGTGGGGGGGGGGGTGGGTGGGGGGTGGGGGAGTTGATGTATCCGGATTAATTCTGAAGCTTTTACATGTTAGCTTATATTGTCCTCCGTATCAAAATGTTAGCTTATATTATTCTGTTTGTACTTTGTGTATAGGAAGTTGTAGTCATGCATTGGACATGTACAAAGATCACAGCATCGGCGGCAATCCCTGATGCCACTCTTCTAGAAATGTTACTTGATAAGGTTTGTAATTTGAACAAGATGTCCAACATCCATTATTGTAGTGCAAACTCTCATGTAAATTTTTGGTATTTCAGCTGAAAATATGCAAGGGGATATCTTATGCTGCAGTTGCTGCTCATGCAGATAAGAATGGTCGTCGAAAGTTAGCTGCCATGCTTGTTGAACATGAGCCACGTTCATCTAAGCAGGTTCTTTAATTTTTTTGTTGTTCTTTGTCTTTCCGCTAATATCCTCTGGTGGAGCCTAGTACTTCCTTGCCCCCCAATGAAAAAAGTTGTCATCTGAGGAAGACTTCCTTTTTCTTGGCTGGCTCTTCATCTGTTAATTGGATTTCTACAACATGGTTAGTTTAAGTTAGCTTATGATGTACTATGTTATTCCTTAGGTTCCTCTATTGCTAAGCATTGGAGAAGAAGATACTGCTCTGATGAAGGCTACTGAAAGTGGTGATACCGATCTGGTTTATCTTGTCCTCTTCCATATCTGGCAGAAGGTATATAAAGATGTCTCAAGTGGACTTTCTTGTGAAATATATACCTTAATTTTGTTTTTCTCTAAAATGCCTAGTTAGTTCAGTTGTTATCAATCGTTATTAATAACCTCATGCTTTTGCCTTCCAGAAACCAGCTTTGGAGTTCTTCGGTACAATACAGGTCAGACCTCTAGCTCGTGATTTGTTTGTTAATTATGCACGGTATGTGAACTTTTAATTTCTTAATCACTTCAAGAGCAGTTTGCTTAGTCTGCTGAATTTTGTTTCTTTTTCCCAATCTCAAGGCATTACAAGCACGAATTTCTGAAGGACTTTTTCCTATCTACTGGACAACTTCAGGTTGGTTTGTGTGAGACTACAACTTATACTTAGAAATGTTGAACTTTGTATCCCATATTGAATCTCATCCTAGTGACATTGAATATCTTTTTATGCGAATGTTTGCTGTTCGATTGGAAGTTTTGTGTAAATGAAGGGATTAGTTTTTTTATCTGTTGATCTTTTGTGGATTTCTCCCTTATTTTAGTTTTCCTCAAACTGTTTCAATAATAGATATACGGAAATAATACTGATGTCTAGCATGTCATCTTACTTATGTTCTTTAGCACATATTGTCGCTCGTATCCCTCCATTTGTATTTATAAGTAGATGGAATTTGGTAAGAGAATATTCTAGGAACTAACCATATATCAATTTGCCTTCTGGGATAGAACTACCTTGTGTGTCGATGTGAATCTGATCCTACTTTTGGAAGCCCGTCGTAATCGCTCTGTAGTCCTTCTATAGTATCTTGTTTTTAGCTTAATTTGCAAGGCATGAAAATTCTGCTGCTAACTAATATTTTACAGTTCATGGTGATTCTCCACTTTTCCCTCTATTCAACTTTTTTTTATGTGACAAAGTTTCAATCTTGTAGGATGTAGCTTTCCTATTATGGAAAGAATCATGGGAATTGTCTAAAAATTCAATGGCTAGCAAAGGATCTCCACTTCATGGTCCAAGAATAAAACTCATTGAGAAGTCCCAGCACCTTTTTGCAGAAACAAAGGAATATGTTTTTGAATCAAAAGCTGCTGAAGAGCATGCAAAATTGTTAAGGTGCCTTTGCCTTCAGTCTTAGTTATCAAGTCATTAATTTCATTGGAGTTCTCTTCATTTATTTCTTTTGTTTGCCCTAGCTTTTCCATTTCACTTCCTGCTTATTGTCTTGAGTTGATGGTCCATTTTCTTCTTGCTGAAAGTGATGCTGAGTTTGCATTATGATTTACATGTAGGCTCCTCATAAAATTTCTAAATCAACGATAAAAGCCCTTTTCTATTATATTTGTCAAGCGCGCTAGCTGCAATTAAAACATGCAATGCTAAAATTAGATGCTAGTTTCAGAATGTTACTACAACGAGTCAAATAACATTCTTATCTTTTATATTATCCACTATATATGTGCCTCATCTCTTATGTACTCAATTTGATCCCTACTTTTCTTAGATGGGGAGTATCATGAATTACCGAGGTCATCTTTAGTGCTTTCTTCCCATAAATTTCTATTTGAGGGATGAGTTTTCCTGCATAAATTTGTAGAACTTGCATCTAATTTATGTCAAAGTGCCAGAATGGTGGCTCTGGAATTCTACATAAATACCTGAGTTTAGAGGTGACTTTGCAATAGATCAGAAGATGATATACATCCTTCCAAGTCTCATACACCGACTAAAGTCTATCCTTTTCTTCCTATGTTTGCAGCCAAGGATAGTAGCCCAAGCTTTTATAGAATAACCAAGTCATTTAAGTTCCGAGTTTTGTCAACCACTCTTCAGCAAGTAATAAGTGTTTGTTTATGCGCCATGATATCTTTTGTAGTTGCAATGATGCTCTTTGACAATTAGAGTGACATACTTCTAGAATGGCTTTTTCTTTCTGCAACCTTTTCAGTTTATGTGATATTTATGGATTTCTCTTATAAAATTTTGCAAAAAGTGGGAACAAATCTAACAGGTTACTTGCACAAAAATGTGAACTCGGAATGCATCTACCTCCCTCTCTTCTCTCTCTCTTGTTACTGTTTATTTCTGCTTAACTTCTCTTAAAATGTCGTTTGGTTGTCTTATTATTCATATACTGATACAGGATGCAACATGAGTTGGAGGTGACTACAAAACAGGCCATCTTTGTGGATTCAAGTATAAGTGATACAATTCGTACATGCATTGTGCTGGGGAACCATCGTGCTGCCGCAAAAGTCAAAACAGAATTTAAGGTCTCTACTTTCTTGTTTGGCTCACAGTGACGATATACTTCTATTTTCTATTTTATTAGTGATTTATGTACCCTCTTTTGAAGTACATGTTAAACTTTTGGCTTTGTTCAATTTAAATTGCCCTTGATTATACTTTCTTGGATTGATTCAGGTTTCGGAAAAGTCGCTGGTATTGGCTCAAAGTTTTTTGCTCTGGTCAACTATTAGGGATTGGGGATGCCTTTGGAGAAGTTTTTCAAAAGGGTGAAAAAAGGGG